CAATTGGCATTCAATCGATTCGGCCATATTGTTGTCAAGTGTACATACCGATTTACTCAATAAGACCCTACGAGTGTACGGTATTGAATGAATGTTCACATTTGTATGTTATTGTTTATACTTTTTCATAACATATTTTATTTCAGTTTGATTCATTTTCGGTTGCTCAAAACCTTTGATTTGTGCTCATGAATTGCATTCCATGTATAGTTATAGTTTATTTCTCGCAGAAAGTAAGCCTAGGCTTGTACCGTATTCGTGGTAGCAGTCGTGTAAGCCATACACTCTTCACTCACTTCTTGATTGTGGGCATGATTTTATGTGCACAACTCGGCTGCTTACTACAGTAACCGCTGATTGAGGTCTAATAGTTGTGGCTAGACTTAACTAATGAGTAAATAGAGTCTTTTAGTAGTTCATTCGTTCATCGATAAAATTATTGATTTATCGATCAGCTGCCCTGTTCCCTACACTTCCATTCATTGTGCTCATGTTTTTATTCTCTTAAATTCAGTATACTGGTGAAAATAAAAGTTACAACTGTAATGTATCAATTCCAAACGTTGTTTTATTCTGTAGTAATACTTGATAGTAATGCAAAGTAGCACTTAATACTATTTCTATGTAATACTAAGGTAATCGTTAGATGTAATCTCGTCAAATCCGATGTTATTTGAATTCGAAATCGGCGTTTAGGCGGACGTGTTTCTCGAATATTCGAATTTCAGAATCACCTGTAATGAATAGCGATAAATAAGCTGAAGGAATTCATACCGTAGGGCAAAAGAAGTTTTGTTCCAGTTAAACTGGTAAGTAACTGTACTTCCCGATAAGGTTAATGTGTAGATGAGTAAAGTGTAAGGGTAGAATTTTGGGTATTCTTGTACGATTTTACGTGGAAGCATCAATTCCAATGGGGCACGGGCCATACAATGGGGAGAGCGAAATGTCTATCCATCGCTATCGAACTGTGCTCACTCCTAGATAGACCGTTGAGGTGACAACTCTCATAGCTCGGGACCAGGCATTTGGAAGGTGTGGCCCAGAAACCCTTTCCGATCCTATCCTCATAAATAATTAATTTAGATCAGTAAATCCTGTAATTAGTCCCGAAGGTAACGTTTACCCATGTGAGGAAAGCTCATAATCAGGCCATCCAAGGAAGTGTCATAGACTTGACTTCTTCTAAATTTCTCGATGCTTCCCTTTGTCCAGATTTTGTCATTTCCCTAATCGTAAGTGGGCGATGAGTAGATGGCTCGGAAAGAGGAGTGTGATGGGTAAGGGACTTACTGCTACAGTACCATGGTAAGTGTCAGTAGTTTTTCGTCAGGAGGCGAAAGATACTTACCAGATATGGTTACATTATCAAAAATAGGTAATGGAATGCCTTTGTGCAGTACGGCTTCGACCATCACCCGAGCGCTGACCGCAAATACCAAAAAGCTGTAACCTTGCAATCACATCAAATCTAATCGTACTGGGACATACATGGCGCAATGCATGCGACATAGCAGATGGGCTGTAAACAACACATTACTTTCAGAGTTCCTTACGTTTTTGACATTTCACCGATGTCCGAAAAATCTTCCCAAAGCTGAAGTTGGGTATTGTTAAGCTGGCCAGACAGTCGATTATCCACAATTTCTGGTAGAATCATCGATGACGATTGCAGAACTGAAATTGAATCTCATGAATCAAGATATTGCCGAGCGCCGACTTCAACACATTGTTTTGTATTTTTCAAACTATTTCCAAATACAATAGCTGCAGTGTGTCCAAAAATCACGAGAAGTTAAGGAGATTTTCGACGCTCGATCCAACACCGGGTGGGCCATTAAACTACGTACAGGTTATACCTGCACACAGAATCATCCTCAAAATTACTCAGGTAAAGCCTGAAGAGTTGTATTCGGTGAAGGCTTGATTTGATCTGCGCTAATCAATGCTGATGACCAATCCAGGGCTGCGCTAACCAGCCTAGGAAACAACACGCCGTCACCAACACCGCATACTATTTACCTCCTTTAACTTTTTTCTTCAACCCTACCTGTATCTTTTTGTTTCCTCTTTTCCACCTATCCAATATTTATCCCTTTGCTTTTAAGGGACTTTGTGACATTCTGAGGCTCATTCGGGGATTTGGCAAATTCTAAGTAGTTCTATTTGCATTCTGGTTCAAGTTAACTTACTATCACTGACAATTTGATGTTCCTGTTCATTTGGAAGTCAATCTGCACTTTATAGAAACGGCTTAGAGGTCATTGTCACTTTGACTCTGTGACGTATATTGCGTTGCATGGTCTGCATTGAGTGGGCAGAGTATTCTAAGTGGAGCAACGTTGCAGAGTTTCCCCTGAAGCCCTGAAATTCGTAAAACAACACTCACTCATTCGTGCCAGATTTTTTGGATGTTCCTTCTTTGGATGTATATAGAAGTCGATTGCGAATGTGGCATTTATAGTCACTTCACCATCATGCATTCGTATAATCGGTGCATTGTAGGTGTGAAAGTGTAGATCGACGTATTGATCCGGAAAATCGGTTCGAAGTTTCTCGAAGAATCGTCCGATGCAGATGGACAACATAGAGCAGCTCAAAGAACGGAAATTATTCTAATAAGTCGCACAACTATTGCCCTCGATGAAAAGGCATGATTAGGGACAGCTCGTCCATGAGGGCTGGGCACTCCACATCGTGTGGAGCGCCCCGCCCTCCTGCACGTTGGGCCTGGTTATCTGCTTCCTTGTAATCATAGATTCGACAATATATGGTACCTGGTTCTTAAGTAAGAAGCCAGCTGTGGAATGTTCTTGGTGACAGTGAACTGGACGAGTTTCCCTTCATGAGCGCTACTGAGAAGGCAATTCGGTACAGTCTCACTTAACCAGATAACCATCATCTTTGGTACGAGGCCAGTCTCTGGAAGCGAATTTTAATGGAATTCTCAGGTAGAAAAATTCTCACAACAAACCTTCCCATTGCTCAATTTTCTCTGGATGGCATGTCTGGGCACCATAGACCACGTCCGCCAATAACTCTGCCTCGGCAAAATCGCTGAACATTATTGACTTATTTGTTGATGCGTACGCATTTGCAAGACAACGATTCATCGATTCTCTTGTGAGTCTGTGGAATTTAAGTAATTGTTGAATACCCTTCGATCGAGGGTGCAACTTGGAGTTGGAAAAGTTCAACCTACTCTCCACCCAAATAAGAGAACGTCCTGCTGATTGTGACAAACTGTGCCTCCTTTTGAGATGATAAATCGCTCGGGAGATTGGAGGCCCGCCGGGGTGCGCGTATGCGGTGCGTACAGATGAAGTCGCAGTGCCTGGGAGCCGCGGTAAGGCTAACAATGATTGAAATTCTGCTATCGTCCGCAAATGTCGACATGTCCACATCGTTAAAGCAGCTGTCCACCTCATTTATTAATGTAGATCGAATAATGAGTCGGGATCCGCAAAGAGGTTCATTTTATTCTTTATTTGGTAAACGAATTGGTAATAATGTTACCAGAAGGCATCGTAAATATCTCAGTCAGTTTGAAGTATGATTAAAATGTTCCCAATTGGTCACGACCGACGAACAAAGTACTGTTCGGCACAAATTCAATTACAGTGTTTCGCACTCTTGCATTGAATTGATTTCATTGAGAAGTTGAGAGTTGGCTATGTGTCAACAAGTTCTGTGCTCTTCAGGAACGACTGCCACGAGCTCACCCGTAACTGATGCCGCTATGACGTCGTATTTGCAACTCTTACGCTCACGTGGAAGCTCGCCTTTTGCTTGCCCAGCTGCCTAGTCTAGTCGATTTTGTCGGTCGTTTGATTCAAGCTGGGCGTTGCCCTTTATCAACAACAGGCCTAATGAAAATCGAATGATATTGGTATTTATTACAGAGAGAATATTTTTTTGGATGGTCTCTAGCGCAAATGTCGCCACTGATGTCATATACGTTTTCTCATCATGAATTCGAAACCCGTCTACTTCACGACTGAAGAATCTCTTCATTGGAGTATGCGATAATTGACACCTTTCGAGGATTCGACTGACGGAAAGGCAAGTTTCTGTTTCGTATGTACGTATGCGTTTTTCACTCCAAGCCGAATGCATCTTGTCTCGTCTTCTACGTGCTCACTTACATCCTAATGGATTTTGACAAACTATTATGCATCTTGTTTTTTGTATCTCAATTCTTTCAACTTGTGTCTGAAATGAAATGCTCCCGCCACAAGTTACGCTTTGCAGCCGCGCGCGTCACCTCATGAAGGTCGCAGATGTGCCTTGAAAAGTCTCATCCCATCTCTATAACTAGATATCATCGTTAGCACTGGTTTTACTTGTGTAATGCGCACGGCAAAATCGCGCGCATTTATAGGCACGTAACCACCGGATTGGCCTCCTCGCGACCGCGCGCGTCTGCTCTCGCCGTCTTGGATCTCGAAGTAAATCAGCACGAAATGCTTCATAGAACATCGAAACTGTCTCGAACTGACCTATTATATGTTAAATTTCGTTCCATTGCATAGTCAAGATAGAAGTCTTGTCCGATTGGTATGTGTAGTGGCAGGGAGAGTAGAAAATCGTTGAAATTAGTTAACAAAATCGATCTAGCGCTCTCGCATGCCTGAAGTTATCACTCAAAAGATCATTAAGTCTCAGCCATTCTAATTATTCTTACTGTTCTCAATTAAAGAGATATTTGTTCGCAATAGATTAAATTCTAATGGCATTTTTAAAAATTATTTTGTGTGAAAGCCGTTACCTGATTATGAATGGCTTTCCTCAAGGCGAGCGAGATCGGAGTTCGGAAGAGATTCACCAACCAGGGTATTACACCACCGCCAATTCTGAAAGGACTCATATTTCATGTTCTGCCACTAATGGCCTGTTCTGAGATCTACGATCAAGAGCAGTTGCCAGCCAATTTGGTTGATTTGCATACCGCTCGAACTCAGCCCCTCATATAATGAAGTGTACTAAAACTACTGATCAATGGGAACCCATCATATTTATGGCGAGCGAATAAATGTTTGGTCAAGTCCACATGGGAGGTAGATGGGAGGAGAGGTTAGAATGAGAGGTATTTCGATAGGGTATCATCATGAGATACACGGAGAACGTGCAGTAGCATGCGAAATAGTCGCTGAGACGGGTTCCCTCACATCTAACAACGTTTTAGGGTTAGATTAATTAATTTTGGGGAGCTCCTTCTTCGTTCTTGCTGCAATATTCCCGAAAAGGGACATTCCCGTCAGGATCTGCAATCATGATGTCTGGGTTACGTGTCGCCGAATCAGTGGTTCTAGGGGTTCTGACCATTCTGAAATATCCTTTCCAAATTCGATCTTTGACTAATAATGTTCAAGAATAATTAGTGGACATCTTCTGTGAAATCTCATGGTCTCCTAGCTCGTCCTTTTACAGTAGCTCCTATTAACTGCGAATCTCAAAGTGTCATGTCGTTGAGTATAAATGAGTGTAATACGTACTGGAAGTCAAAGTGCATAATGTCGGCCGTACAGTCACCGAGTACTATTTGAGGCCGTGCTTGAACGTCTAACACTCTTGCCGATACGTTCACTCGTATATCCGCAGCCAGCACTTCGATCCATCCGGATTCTCGTAACTGCAAAGGAATTCATTTTAGCAAGACGAATGACGAATTCAACAAGACTTTTGCAATTTTTGTGATCTCTTTGAGTTTTCGCCTTGTTGAACAAGAACAGCGGAGGTCATCAGCAAGGCGACCCAGGCAGAGCCGCGAGCGGTCGCGATACGTCACTAGGAATCATTTGCGGTCTTCTGAAGCCGTTACTGATTTTGTCTTTCAATCTTGCCGATTTTGCCTGAAGGGCTGATTAGAAAATGCCAGAGCATGGAATGAGCGTGTATTTGGTCCGGTATTTACGATTTATACCTCAATATTCGGGACCAAGCCCGGAATTTATTTTCCTCACCATTGAATTCAGCTATGGTGATGGAAACTTTGAAAGAGCTATTGAAAAATATCTGTTGATTTTCAGCATGTATTATTTACCAAGGTTCTCCTTTGTTTATTATTATTATTTTCATTTATTTTTCGTTTATAAAAGAATTTTGGTGAAATGTACTGACTAATGGAACCTACCGGCACACCAATTGTGTATACTGCTTCCCATCGACCTCCAATTTTCGCAGCACCTCCATTCGACGACCATGACAGTCCTTGGTCGCTCAGTAAAAAATTGAAGCTAAATGGAACAAAATTAGTCACTGATCCGCTTAGAAACTGATAAAAATAACCGTTGAACTGCTCGGTTTTCCAGTCTGAGCCGATTGTTTTTGAGCCTCAACTTTATCTTACTATAAACTTATCTTACTATAAACTTATGAATCTTACTATAAACTTATAAGGAAAAGTTCAAACCGAACTTACTTTGGTGATTTGAATTTAATGATGTTCAGATCATGCGCAGAAACTTTGCCTGTACCGGGTCCAGCAGTAATATCAAGTGTTATGTCGGGAATGGTGACTTTTGGTATTTCACGATCTACCTGAAAGCTCGAAAAGCGTAAGTATTCTCAAGTATTTTCGTATAGATAGTAGTTATATTTTCGTTAAAGTCATTAATTTCGCTTAGTAGGGATGTTTGTCTTAGGTTAAGAGTTGGATTTCAAAAGGTTAGTGTAGGGAAAGCGAAGGTAAATCATGGTAGAATTTATTCGGAGAGGTGAATGTGGATAACAGGAAGGAAACTCGCCTTTATGCTTTCGAGTGTTAGTAGAAATGAAGGGAAGCTGGCACGAAAATTTCGGTCCAGACGTTTTACTAATGATAAATACCAAGAGATTTATATGTCTGAGTTTACATCAGTACAAAATGACTGTTGTCGGCGTTAGCCATATAATGGGGATGTCAATGACGCGTGCGGCTGCGAAGCAGCTAGTATGGCGTGTCCGAATGTACACTTGGAAGGCGGGAGATTTTCGCTGAAGGGGAGCGACTAATACCTTTAGCAAAACTAGTAAAGGCCCAGAGACATTCCAATGAATTTCGAGTAACGGCAGCCTATATACGAATAGGATTCGGGTCCTGATCTGGGAGCCTTTACTCATATAACTTTGAGTAGAGGCTCCTAGGTCAGGACCCCAATTATCAGTCGGTTCCAGTTGCTTCTAAGTATTGTACGCTTTGCGGCTGCACTGTCCTGTGCATACCCATAGCTCTTAGACTCAGATCTTAGCTACTAATTGGACCTCTTGGTGCCCAACCGGAATCAAGTTCGTCACAAAGAGTCAAATAAACAATATCGCATCAGATCCCTCTGAAATCTCAACAGCGTCAGACTGTGGCGTTTTATTTTGGTCCGATTGAATGACTCACTGTCAATTCAAGCCGACACGTTACTGAGTTCTCAAAATCCCATTACTAAAATTCGAGCGAAAGCGATTTACTTTTTCAAACGGTCATTCGCAAAAGTGACCTGAACGTACCACGTGATGAGCCGTCTTTGAGAAGAACTTGAATGCGGACAGATCCAGACGAGCCTTAAGATCGGCATTGTTCGAAGGGAAATCGGCCACAACCAAATGATCAACGATGACCAAAAATATCAGGAACAGCAGCCGACGAGCACACATGCTCACAGAAAAGTGAGGTCGTTGGAAAGCCGAGGGGTATCTGTTTCACATAAACAACGGCGACCATGCCCTCGATGTCCCTTTGCCACAACGTGGCACAAGTCATCTGATGTGTGACACATCAGCCATCGGCTGACCCGACAACCGACATTGGTCCGGTACGTGGAAAGTTGCTTGTGTAGAGCATATGAGTCGGTAGAGGAACCTCGATTAGCTACTGAAATGGGCCCAGCACTTTTGGCTGAGCCACGCACTTGTTTCATTCCGGGGCTGCAGGAGTGACTGAGTATTAAAAGTGACTTTCGTCTCGTCCAACTACTTGCCGATTCGCCCAAAGGTTCGCACGTGAAATTCGTGCAACATTCGTATATGTGGTTCATCTCGAAAGGAATATAAGAAACCCTTGGGAGAGTGCTTGGTGGCCTGATGGCCTCAATGATCACGACTTTCCACGAGAATTCGATATAGTTTTTGTACTGAGTCCGATTAACCTAATTGGGAATGTCCAATTCAAACGGACGGGTTATTGTTGGCCTGCTTTGACGTACGTTTGGAAGAAATTCTATCGCACTATGGACAGGGCGAGGCCTCATTAACTTGTGGATTCAGCGGGATGCGATTCCGATTTTCCAGCAGTTCATCATGCCCCTACATAAAGGCTACTGAATCCAGGCTTTGCACCCTCTTGTGCCATCTCCTTGCTCTCGAATTTATCTGAGTCCGATTCAGGAGTCCATTATATTCCCTTTGCGTTAACTATTTGAGGCTTGCCAACATTTCATCCGTTGTAAATTTTTGCTCTGAAACATATTCTACTGGGGTGGCAGTCGTATAGCCAGCCCCGTCTACTGTTGCAGGCCTTCTGGGCAGGACCTACATTTTTGCCGGTGTAGGTGCTCTCTTGCAAAAGTATTAGTCTACCCTATCGAGGTCTACAGATTTCTTGAATTCGGTTCCTTTAATTGTGGCGACTGCGCCTATTTCCGGCCCTCGTCTGCCCTGTCGCACTCCCGTCTGATCCAGCCCTTAACTACCGTGCTTCCTGGCTAATGGACAGAGAAAGTTCAAGTAGTTACATTGCTTCCTATAGAATTGTTTTTAGTGCGTACTATGAGAGTGATGTAACGGAATAGTTAGTAATTATATACGGGCAGTATTTCAGATGCACTACCATCGGATTTGTTCTGTAATTGCCATTCT